TCTGCCTTCAAAGCCTATGAATGGTTTCTCTTTCTCACTAAAGTTGTGTCCTACTTCGACTTGTTCTGTCACATAAAACCCACTCCAGTTCATCGTTATACGACATGAAATGAGATGTAAAAATGGTGTAAATGTTTTATTCCTCTCTCACAGTGAAAAAAATGGTAGCTGATATAGAATGACATCTACTGCAGATTATATTGTTTTATTGAAGCCTTGAATTGTGTAGTAAATGTACTGCAGCTGTGATAATTCAGTGGAAACCTGCAGATCAATGCATGTTAAGCCTGAAGCTTTAGGATGAGTAACGGGAACAGAAAGTGAGACCTTTGGAATGACTGCTGCTGATTCATCTTTATGCAGATGACGCTGTTGTTTTAGAGCAAAATGAAGGGACTCTTGCTCACCTGGCCATCTCCTTGGTCTCTGGTTTTGAACTTTCCAGTTCAAGGACTTTCTCCAGAAGACTGACTCCACCTTCCTTTATTAGCAGCGGACAATATTTGCTCGCTGTTGATAAAAATGAAACCATAGAATGAGTCGCATGCACAATACAGTTAGATCTGAATCAAATGAGCACATCAACTTAATATGAAGGAAGTTGTGAGAAATAATTCAACGAGGTAATTAAGGTGAAGCAATTTGTCCAATAAGCTTTTTGTACAACATCAAAGTGTTTTATCAAACACAAATCTGCTTTATAAGCTGGAACATGTTTAACATTGTCCTCCTGAGAGCAGTTCTGCTCATAGAGGTTATCACAGATTGAAACCAAGCAGATACTCACGGTAAACCGAAACCAGGTTGAAAAGAGCCCACGTGGCCCAGTGCTGACTGACAGGCGCGATACCCTGAGGAAGGAGGCGGAGGATCGGCTCAAATGACCTGCAGGATGAAATGAAAAAAAAAAATCAGAAAAATATAATGTCACCTCCACTACAATCTTTAGGTTAACAGCTAGGCTAACAATATTTTCATGCTCTTTAGGCTAACAGCCAGCTTAACAGCACTGTCATGATCTTGAAGCTAACAGGTATGCTAACACTACCATCATGATCTTTATGCTAACAGCTAAGCTAATACCACCATCATGATCTTTAGGCTAACAGCCAGCTTAACAGCACCATCATGATCTTGAAGATAACAGGTATGCTAACACTACCATCATGATCTTGAAGCTAACAACTATGCTAACACTACAATCACGATCTTTAAGCTAACAGCTTGGCTAACACTATTATCATGATCTTTAGGCTAACAATATTTTCATGCTCTTTAGGCTAACAGCCAGCTTAACAGCAACGTCATGATCTTGAAGCTAACAGGTATGCTAACACTACCATCATGATCTTTATGCTAACAGCTAGGCTAATACCACCATCATGATCTTTAGGCTAACAGTTACGCTAATATCACCATCATGATCTTTAGGCTAACAGTAAGGCTAACCATAACATTAAGATCTTTAAGCTAACAGCTATGCTAACACTACCATCATGATCTTTAGGCTAACAGCTAAGCTAATACCACCATCATGATCTTTAGGCTAAGTTAGGCTAACCATACCATCATGATCTTTAGGCTAACAGCTAGGCTAAAGCTACCACCATGATCTTTAGGCTAACAGTTAGGCTAACAATACCATCATTATCTTTAAGCTAACAGCTATGCTAACACAACCATCATGATTTTTAAGCTAAGAGCTGATGTGATGCCTGCATCATTCCTGATCAACCTGCAGTAAAAACCATCACCTGTAGTTTATGTTTCGCCGCGAGCTGACATCCCAGCTCTGGATTGCCTTCCACATTCTGTCCATCACGGCGTCTCTTTTCGGCTCCTCCATCGCCCAAACTTCAGGACCGTCGAACATGATGTGTGACAGGACTCCGCACGCGTTGTAGGACACCTCGATCCCATCGGCTTTGCTCTCCAGCAGGTAACTGCATCAAACAGCAGGAGGGAATCCGCCGACGAGGGTTATTTTATTACTGGCTCCTCAGCTATCAGACATATTTTATTGTTTCTGGGAGTTACACAGCTGCTCCAGGTAGGCTGACCGTTTTTACCTGAACACAGTGATGAACTGTGGCGTCAGCAGCTGTGGCCTCAAAGATTTCACCTCTGCAACATTTCCCAGAAGTCCCAACATGTTACGGTGAAGCTCCTGCTTATCTGGAAACTCCTGTTGGGCAGAACCAATCTGGCCTTACTACTCCATCAGGTAAGATACTGAAAGCTCAGATCTTCTCCAAGTCATCCCCATTTACGGAAATAAAGATGAGGACTCACCCCCAGACACTCCAGGAAGAGACTCATCCCACGCCAGTTCAGGAACATCTGACAGTTGTCTGGTGTCTCATCTGTGATGTTCCAGAGCGCGCTCCAGGAGAACTCCATCACCTGGTCACACTGAATGGAAACAAACATCAGAAACCTCCTAAACACAAGCTCTAAAAACAGGCAGTGGGTCTTAATAAGATGGAGACTCACAGTTCTGTCATGTAGCTTCTTCTGGATTAGATTCAGCATGGTCTGAAAACAGACAAAGATTCATTTAAAAACATCTTAAAAACTGGTCGGAGCTTCATTCCACACATACTGTGGCTCTGGTGGTTAAGGGAATATCTGTCATTAAAATATTACAAATGATTATCAATACCAAAAATTTGATTTCATTGATCTTCACCAAAGTTTCTTCTTCCACTAAACCTTCCATTAACATGCTTGGTTACAGCAGCCTATGAACAACCAATTTCTTGAGCAGTAAGTCGCTGCAGCTTATATCTTCCAAATGTTCTTTGTAGAACACAAGTAATAGTAGTAGTAAGAATATTTTGTGACTTTTCTGATATTAGACATACCGAGAAACCAAAGGTTTTTTTGTTTTTGTTTTTATTTGCCATAAGCCAGAATTATCAGGGTTAACAGAAAGCAGCATGTTTAATGCACTTTCTGTATGAAAATAGTCAACATTTTAAAATAGCTCTTTTTAGATAAACTTGTTTATTTATGATTTTATTAATAAAAGTTACGATGACGTTATTTCTGTTTATTTCACAGAAAATCTTACCAATTTTGAAAGTCCATCCATCAGTTCTTACCCTCTCAGACCAAAACCAACTGCCGAATTTTCATTTTTCACCAGGTGGAAGGATGAGAGCACAGAACCAAGGGCAAAACGTTTTTCCTGTCAAAGTTATTCTGGAATATGGATCTGGTTCAAGAGTTTACATTTTATACAATTGGAGCCCAGTGAGACCAAACCTCACTCTTGCTGAATCCCAAATCGCTCCCTAACCACTAACCCTTCACTATCAAGTGTTACTCCAAAGTAGGGATGGAACGGTTTATGAAAACCGTCCAAACCGTTCGGTTCAACTGTCTCGGTTCGGTTTGCCAAAAACAAGAGCCAAAAACAAGTGTTATACAACTTCCAGTCCAGTAGATGTCGCTGCGAATGTATTGACGCACTCTGCCTTGTGTCACAAGCATTTCCGGCCGCGGGATACTGCGGCGAGTCATTCAAAAACAAAACATGGAGGAG